GAAATCCGAATATTCGTCTGGAGCTTGTAATCAGTTTGAAATTGCACTCGTTCCGCCAGAAATTAAATGAAGCGCAAACAAACAACGGAACTTTCCGTGAGTCCTAATGCAAACTGCATGACTCGATAGAGCGTGTCGCACGCGTCGCTCGAATGATCCCTTCCGGTCGGACCGTGTAATGTCCAGACATTAAACGGCAAGGATCATTCGAGCAGGATGTCGGATCTGCCGAAACGAAACGCGCCGGCAGAAAAGGCAGCGATCACAGTTTCCTGGAGCAGCCTGGCGTGGGAGTATTATATTCACGGCGTCATCGACAGTAAGACCACTACAATCGGGCCAACGGTCGGGCCGGAGAACAGGATGGAGACCCGTGACTCATGAACCTCCCGCTAGTTACCTCGGGCGATGTTCCCTTACGGAAAAGCGTGCACCTTGTCTCTCCTATGCGTTTTACAAGCGCCGCATTTTTTTATGCCTCATCTGTAGCAGTGACGCGCAACCTTTTGCTTGTAACGGACCGGGTGCAGCATCATGCGCTGCATATTCATCGTATAAATAACCGCCGAGCAGAAAAAGAGGTGGGAAGAGAAACGTATGAACCGTTTGCAAGGTGAAGGTAAATACATTTTCTGAACGTTGATAAATCTTAGAAACGGTGATTTATATTGGAAAGAATTGATGCTTAGGTTCGTCTGCGTGTAGGTAGTTTCATTAAACTTTTCTGGTTTCCCTGTTGCGAAGTTGATCACTTTGGCGAACGAAAGCAGTTTTGAGTCAGTTGTGCGAATATTTTTAATTGTGTGAATATATAGTTGAAATATGGCCGTGGAAAGTTTTATAAACAGAAAGTTTAGCCGAGCCACGCGCGATCCGCGAGTCGTAAAAATGAAATGTTTTGCCGGGCCGCAGGTTGTGCATCACTGATCTACAGTCATCCTTCTCCGTACCTTTAGTTACTCTATCTCTTCCACAGCGCTTTTAATATTTTGTCCATTGTTTTCCGGTTTCTCGTTTCTGTTTTATTCGTTTCGAACCTCTGCGTCAATAATCGAGCGTTGTTTCGAAAGTATTTCAAGCGTTCCTGTTCCGATGTAACGAATGCGGAGCAACGTTTTTTTAATCTCATTTTTTCAACTGCGCTTTAACCTTTTCACAGTATACTACTCGAAAGGATAATTATCCAGGTAAAAAATTGCAAACGGGAATGTTGCTAAAACCACGAAGATAATTACTGTGAACGTACGATTACGTCGAACATGAATATTTATATCAGAACACAACTGTCACCGCGTTTAAAGCGATCCGAAGTATTCGAATTTCCGCAGAAAGACACCGATGGAACAGATGTTTTTCAAATAAAGGATAACGTTCCGAATGATAAGCGGTGATAACGACGAACACTGTATTTTTCTGCGATCAGGCATTATTGAGTGCGCTCGAACGAGGATCGAGCTCCAATTGTTCCGCGAACTGGCTTACCGTGGAAGAGCTTTTAAACGGTGAAGTTTAACGCAAATCATTCGTCTGGTTTTGAAAAGTTAATTAGTCGCGTGAATGGTTGAATCGTCGGTTTCAAGAGCAATCGATCCATTCTATAGGCTAAGGATGCCAACGGCGTCCGGATAATGAAGGTGTATCTACCCCAACTTCAACCTAGAGACATTGCTTCAGCTCAAGTCTCTAACAAACTTCGTTCGATTTGCATTCAGTGGATTATAATAATCCGGGAGATTGATAGCTATTCCGTGACGGAATTCGTTAGCCTACGGTGAACTTTTGGGGGATCGGCGAACCATAAGCCTTTGGCTTCACAGGCGATCGGTCGATGAGTAACCATGGGAGACCAAGGCCGTACCTTCTAGCTCGATAAACGCCGCCGGCATCAAACAACGCGATTGTTTGTTTGTGTGCAGTCCCGCATTACAGACGCGAGTTCATTTGCACATGCATCCTGATTGATATTATGAAATTGTATCCACCAATTACGCAATTAAACGCAGACCTCATCGTAGGGATGAAATCTGAGTCGTCACGCGTAGATTGAGTAAAGGGTACAAGATTGTTCCTAGTACACGTTCATTCTTAAAAATATTGTTTTGTGTAAACAGTTTATAATGATTCAGTGTACTCAATATCTAGGAAAGATTAATCGACCGCTAATATGAAATATCCCAGCTCGATCACGTTCCCACTAATCCAGAGCAATAGATATTACTTCTATCGCTGAGTTTTTTTATGGACTCCTCTGCTAGAATTCTTGATTGCAAATCGAGAACACCGTAATATTTCATTCCGATTCGTTAGTTTAATAGACCGTTCCCTGGTCGTTTGTAATTCTTCAGAGACGAGAAGAACGCAGGAGCTCTGCGTGACTGCGGTTCGTTTTATTTTCTTATCCACAGTTCTCTTCGCGTAGAACAATCATCCGAATATCAAACTGAGAGGCACGTTCGGCGATAAATCATTTCTTTTTACCGGTTCGAGATTTTCTCCGGTCAGGAGTTTCTTCTCTTAATGCTCCGCGGCTGAATTTAGCATGTACGATACTAAAATGTTACATAAAATGAATGTGATTGAATTAAAATGACTATCCGTCAAGCACCGAGGATCATCTGTTCTTCACCTGCTGCGCGGAAAACGCTGGATCACCGTGATCCGGTGTCTTGATCCCAAGAGATAATCGAAATACCTCGAATCGCGATTCGTGTCTATCCATTATCTAACCGCTGGAAGTTCTCGAAATACATTTTCGCAATGAACGACTTGGATTACGATTTACGATGAAAATATAAGGATTTAATCGGATACATATATCGTTGCAACCTGCAGCATGGCTAACCTCATTTCCTTTCTCTTCCTCAATTAAAGCCCAAACGCGCAGTAGTGAAATCATGCGGGCAGTATCCGCGATAGCTTAACCCCTGCGCTCTGTTCGAATACTTCGCATTGAATCGGTAACGCTGCAATCCAATTAAACTTGAATTACGGAAACGCGTTATCGCATCTCGATACTAACATGTGGAAATTACTCGACTACGATCTACAATCTTATCTGCAGCCAGTCGGTAAAGGCTGCTCATTGAAACCGCGATAACGATCGTCGAGACCTTATGTTGACCATGCGATAAAAGAAATTTACAAACAAAACTCTTGCGAATATTCGTACACTGTCGACAAAATTTCATTGAAACTAACACTAGAGCTACCGAGTATTTGATACGATTGATACGTAATCTCTATAAAAAGTGTAACACTAGATTATTCTCGGTTTCCTCAGACATTCATTATAGCATTCAAGTGAAACTATCTATTCTGAAGATCGTTTCGGATGTTATGTTTCTAAGATATCAATAACTGCGAGACAAAAAGACTGAAACCAGTCACATTTTATTTAACAAAGCGAAAGCTGACGAGTCAAGATATCTCATTAATTTGTACCTCAATCTTCTATCTCATAAATCAATTGAAATTCAATTTACTCAGTGTCTACATTCATTTTTACACCTTCGCGAAGATTTGTATCACCCGAATTCAAGTGACGCGACTGTCAACGCACTAAAGAGTACGATTTTAAGTGACACATGCCCTTCAACACAATGGACCATTAAAAACGAGGAACATGGTGTTCGTCGAATCGCTCTTGTATAGTACACGACAGAGGTACTGCAACTGCAACACAGAAAAAAAGAATCCACTGACCTGGAACACAATCCGGATTCTAGTCCGAAAATGTCAATTTCCACTCCGTTCCCGTTTCCCTCGGTCGAAAGCGAGATTCGTGCGGCTGGCCGCGGCCCAAACCGTTCCAGCCACCTCGTCGATGATGAAAGTTGTCGGCGCAGCTTTTGTTTCGTTTCCGCGCCGTTACGAAACCGTCGAATTCGTTGTCCTTTCCCTGGATCCACGCGAGCGGCTCACAGTCTTTAAACAGCGAACCATCGAAATCGTGGGGCTCGTGAGTCACCTGGGTCTCTTTAAAATTCGTCGAACGACCACGGTGAAACGAACCGGGAATTTCGGGGAACGAAATCCTGTTTTCCATTTTTTTTTCTCCTCTTCGTACGCCGCTCACGAACGACTGCGACAGCGTTCGTGGGTCGTAGGCGAAGCTTCGAGGTCAGAAGCAGTCGAGCGGTTCCAGCGGTGATCTTACGAGCAGCATTGATTCGTTTGTTTATCGACTAGGATTTTCTTTCCCTAGCTGAATGCCATTGCTGTATCCGGCATCGGTGCTCGCTGGATCGTGTCTTTAATCGAAGAAATGAGCGGGTATACAACAGCGTTCGGATTTCATCAGCCGGCTTGTCGATTATGAGCGTGTCTAGTTTTTATATAATCGATGAGATCATGTCCGAAATGTTTCGTTTTCCAATTGAAACTTTCCGTGAATCATTCAACGTGGATTGATGGAGGAGAGTGTCGTAATCGTTAGCGGTTCTCAGTACAATTAGTATGAGTGGAATTACCAGAACAAACTTCGCGAAGCAATCGAACTTCGTTTAAACGACTCCGCAACAGCTAGAGGTTGCAGTCAACTCTCCGACGAGTACACTGCGCTTAAATTAGAATGATCTTTATTCAAACACCATTAACCCTATATTGTTTAAACTTCTAGAAACTCGTTCCACGAGAAACTGAAAATGCATCAAAGTCTTAAATAATAGGAATGAAGGGAGTCACAGATCTCCCTTTATTTGCATAATCGAACGATTCATCCGCAGCTTTCGTTTCCGAATATGGCCGCTCGGAGTCGCCATTACGGCGGCATTCGACCGCTAAGGGTTCGAGCGAGTTATTAGAAAGGAATACTTCTCGAAACTTTTCGAAAGTTCATCTGTAGCATGGAAACCTTGCGAAATCGGGTTCTGGAGCTCGTTGTATAGCTCTCGATCGCGGAAAGGTTAAAGGCACGCGCAGCGCGGCGCGTGTTGTCGGGGCAAATTGGCTTCGATCGATTTTTCTAATGGTTTTAACATTCCCTCTGTTTGTTGCGACAGAGCCTAGAACAAGAGAGGCACCTGCTGAGAAGAAGGCTCGAGGAAGTCAAGGGCGAGAGCGAAGCCAGAGTGCTGGAGCTTCAGGCCGACGTCGAGACGCTCAGGAGCCAGCTGGAGGAGCAGAATGAGCGCGCGAGACGGGCGGAGCGCGATCAGGCGACTCTCGTCACCGAGCTCACCGCTCAAAACACGAGGCTCGCCGATCAGCTGAGAGAGGCAGCCAAACAGGAAGAGCAGCTGCTCATCGAGGTCAAGGTGCTCAGGGAAAAGTGTGCCCTTCGAAGTACCACGCTCCAGGATCACGTCAGCAGCCTGGAGGTTCTCAGGGACGAGGTAAATTAACAGTTTCCGTTTACGAACGTTGCTCAAACTTTCCGTGAAAACCGTCGAGCGGATGGCCTCGCGCTTGCGCGTTCTCTCGTACCACCTGAATATTGTTAAGCGATGATCGAACGCTACGTATACTGGTCACGATGTAAACTATGAGTCATCGTCGTCTCTTTCATTGAATTATTCTTACTGTTAGAATAACTTTGTATCTTTGTATCGCGTGGAATGATCATTTCATTATTATTAGAAACTCAGTGACTCCCGGTTTCGAAATGTTTCGTGTTCTAAAGAGTTAGAATACTTGCATGGCATTCGTCCGTTGTCAAAAGCTAGGTTCGACATACCAACTCGTTGCGATCTTAAGCTCTTGGTAGCAATCGAAACTTCGCAAAGGGAATATACGATTTGACTGCACTTAAAGCAGTAGCGTCAGCTATGAATTCATGAAGATCCGCAGTATAGCCGTGAAGAACCTCCCGGAGAACTTATCGATCGTTAGTCGATTCCGAGTCTCGGGTGCTTCTAATTCCACGAGTATCCGAATACTCTCACGCATCTTCTTACGTAACGATCTTCGTGAGCCTCAAAGTATTCGTGCCGAAGGACTGTCCCGAGGACTGACCCCGTTCCTCCGACTCCGATCTTAGATTAGTCCACAAATTATTCTGGGAATCGCGCGTACCGTTGCATCGCGGACATCGCTGGGAATAGTTGAATATTTATGACACGGTGTGCATCGAATGGTCCGCGCGTTTAACGGAGTCACGGGGGAAACGTAGCCGTGAGAAGTTTAGGGCGCACCGCGGACGCAATCGTGACCCCCGGCGATCGACTTAAACCCGTCGTCCTTCGGCCCCGCGCCCTTTGTTCTCTCCTTACAAGAGGCGACGCGACGCGACGCGTACTCGAGTTTCAGGAAATGCTCTTCACGCATGAATTAAGTCCGCTGATGCACGTTACGCCGTCTGCACGTTACGTCGGTGTTATTGATTGTGCCGCGGAACGCTCGAAAACGTAAGTTGAACGGCTCCGTAAAGGCTGACACTTCGCGTTTCAGGAACTAGGTCGGTAGGAACCGTAAACAGATTCATTACAATGCGATAGAAACGTGAAAGATAATATTTCTCGGCGACAAAAGGTAAACAGGTCTGCGATCGATTATGCAAGTTTTTTTTAAGTGTTACATTTAGACAAAACGGAGTCGAGTGACACCGTGTTTTTGTAGTTTGTGTATTATACGTGCCAGTCGACGCGTAACTATGTGAAATTACGGAGCGAATTAATAATAAAGATTGTTGAATCGTACATGTCTATTCGCGACCTATAGTGATGAATAAAGTAACTGGCCGGTAAGAGGAACATAGTCGCGACTAGGAACATTTACCACATTACCCGCCTGAAGGAGAAAGGAAGGAACAAAGGATATTACAATGAACCGATCCACATACAAGCGTCTATCACAGATCAGTATTTCATGGTATCAGTGCATATGTGGTCGAAGGCCATCTCACGGCTCTGGAATAAAGGATTTCTAAATATATTGAAGTCTTGCTGAAACTTCTATTCTACTCTTGTTCATCAAACTCGTTAATTGCTCCCTCTATCGCAGTCGTTGTTAGCACTTTCACCTTAGAAATCTAAGAAGACAATTCGTATAACCTACATCCACTTCACAGGACCATTATTACAATCTGATAACAAACCAGACATTAAAATCCTTATGCAAAATTTTACTCAAAGTACTAACAATCCCACATATACATATATCATTCAATAAATCTCAAAACCTCTCGAAACCTCTCAAACAAAAGCCCAAACGAAAGACCAAGAACAATAGTCGAGAAACACAAAGGGCGAACCGATTCCTGTATTCGTTCCAACTCGCAAACGTGACGCCCGTAGCTTGACCTTACGGCCGCAGAAGTATCGACGCGTTCCCTCCACCGAGAAACAAAATCACGCGTCCGTATCGTCGGGAGAGGGTTAACATACACGTGTTCACGCGCGAGGCCGTATTCTATAGTGTCAACAGCGGTTCGTAAGCGGATTGGTAGAGGCCAACAAAGTCGAGCCGAATGAAACGCGAGTCCGTTAAAGTCGGTCTTGCCGGCGTTCCAGGTGCAGTTAGTGTCCGCGCAAAGAGCAGAATTAGAGAGGAGGTCCTTGGAGCTACGGGAGGAGAGGGCGAGGGCCATGGCGGCCCTCGAAGAAGCCGAGGAGAGAGCAGCGGCCTTGGAGCGGCTCGGCCACGAGGCGGAGCACAGGGCGAAGCTCGCCGAACGAGAGAGGTGAGTTCTCGCGATTCGACGCCAGGCTTCTTAATATTCCGCGATAACGCGCCAGTGATCCGCGATAACCCAGCCGACTCTTGTTTCATTATTGCGAATCGCTGGCCCGGCTCGATGCTACACGAGCAATCCGTGTAGCGTTGCCTTTCTGTTTTCTATCCGGGGAAGCCAAGGGGAGGATTCTTGGGCTTATCGGACGCAACGTATTTCAGACGTGCTGCTTATCTGGGCTATTGATACGTTTCTGAAGTTAACTGTGGAAGGTTGATGAAAACGGAATTTAGTAGAAGTTCGAACCGGCGAAGTTTGTAAAAGTATTGACACAACGCTCACTTTGAAATCGGCGATGGATAGCAATTTTTTTTATTAACTCGATTCTTGGGAGTTCCATTAAGATTTTATATTTTTAGAACACAATTATATTTTTTATTTATAATATTAAGAATATAAGATGGTCGTTTTCGTTATTTGCGTCTATGTTCACGAGTGATCGACGGTTATAGACTTGTTGAAGTTGCGAGGGAACTTTTTCAAATTTTACTAGTTTAAATAGATAGGTTTTCTTATCAAACTACTAATACGGTGAATTAGATACTGGAGATTCTATTGCACAAAAATCCGTGGCTTACTGATCAGACTTTCGATTTACCGGAAGATTTCGTCGCTGCTCTCTTCTAATCAGATACAGACTTGAATATTACCGTGTTGAAATGTCAACACGCCGATTGCCCCACGCGTGTAACGTTGACGTAGTTTACACGATCGGGAACAATAAACGTAAAACACATTTTCCGCGGCGTAGTCGTCGATCTCAGCGCCCACGCGCCGCTACGGAAAGTCGATCTGGCGCAAGGCGATCGAGCCGAACCGGGAAACGGAATAGGATTCGAGTCGCGTGGCATTCAGCCTCGATCGGCTTCTCTCGTGCTCAGTAATCTCAGGCCAGCTGTTTGCTCGAGTCCATCGAGATTTATCGCGTCCTAAATTCGGTAGCCCGGATCGGTGTCCGAGTCGTTGCGCAAACATCCATTAATTGTCCGACGAGCGTTCTCCGTCTTCTATCTTGGGAAGAGGCTTTATCAAATCTCGATGGTAATCCTCCTCCGACGCTGGATAGCTTAATAATGTTACTAATAATAATATTGGGTCAACCAACAAATCTTTCTCCATTTTAAAAGTAAGTTTAACCCTTGTGTACCGTTCAGCTAATTCTCACACTCCAATGATGGAAAAAAGCAGCTTACGAATAAAAGGAAACTTCCACTATCAAACAAAATTTTATTAACACGTTGAATGCCGTACGATTTCGTACAGCAAAATTCACGAAATGGAAAAATATTAAATCTGATTGAATTGCATTATTATTGCTGTACGTTCATCCATCTAAATGTCATAAAAAGGCAAACAATCATCGTTTAATTAAATAAACCATTATAATTCAATGCCACTCAACGTGTTAAACTACGCATTGTCCACCGTCGGCCTCCCGACATCCTCCGGACATATTAAATAAAAAGAGGGTAGCTTTCCTTTTCAATCCAATATTCCTTCTCACATGCTCGCTGTACCTTGTCGCCAGCGTACGCTGTACTCATTATTTCAGCTAGGCTTGGAAACGAACCCCAACGAACATATCTCAACAAGTATTATTATCATTCGTAGGGACGAGCTGGCTGCGACGTTAGCGGTCATCGAGGCGGAAAGGAGAGGCCGATCGGACTCTATACAGAAGCCGCCGAGGTCGTTGCAGGCTGAAATGGAGTGCGAGGAGAGCGGAAGTTCGCTGGGGGAGCAGGAGGACCTTCGCAGCGAAGTGGCGAGGGCTGCGAAACGGTTGAAGGAGCTCTGCGTCCATTTGAGGCGGGGGGAGGACGACTCCGGCCTGCAAAGCGACTGCGACGAGTCCATGCTCGTGATCAACACCGCGGAGGAGGTGACCACCAACGGTCGGGAGACTCTATCCAGCACGGTAAGAGACTCCGCCGGCCCGCCCTCTTTGTTCCGCGACTTCCGGTTTCCGGCTACGGGGCACCGGGGCTCTTGACCGGCCACGAAAAAAACTCGACGAACGTGCTCCGCTCACTGATCGCAGCCGGGAGATCATAGATAGCGAATCGAGCGTGACTGGAGCACCCAGACGATCGTCCGTGCGCATTGTTTTGCTAGAGTATTTGCGGATCGTGTTTGCGCGGGCCATGCCTCTGATAAGATTCGTAGCTCCTTGATGCGTGCTGATATCGCCGCGATCGAGTAACTGCCACTAATACAGCAATTAACATCGGATAAGAATACGAAGGCAGAATGGTTCCTAAGAAACTGGTAGCGATAAAGAGAATTGTCGAGTGATATTTTATGATGCGTAGTAATGATTATTTTAAATCAGAGTGTAACCTAATACGTCTGTCGTATGATCTGCCTGTGAAATGATGAAGAGTAAATCTTGATAGTCCTCTTTAGTTACTATTTTAAGCGATCCCGACAGTCTCCAATTTTTTCAATCTTCTTGCAGCCGAACTGTCCCGGCGCTCTACTGGACATCGTCGAGGAGGTGTACAACCTGGCACTGTCCGGAAGAGGAGCGCCAGGGGAGCTAGGTCTCGCCGTCGAGCTGCACAGGGTACGGGAAGAGCTGGAGCACACGAAAGAGCAGCTGAAGCAGACGCAGGACGAACTGAAGAGGCGCGGGGAGGCTCTGCTGGACATGACCAGCAAGCTGAGCGTATCCGAAGCGGAACTGCGCGGAGTGAGGGAGGAACGCGACAGAGCTCGAGGGGACATGGAGCATTCGCAGCTGACGAAAGACGAGGTCCTGGCGCAGGCTTACAAAGTCAGGGATCAAGCGGTCGCCAGGAAGAACAGGGCGGAAGTGGAATTGGCGAAAACGCGGATAGACGTTCTCCAGGCTAACAGCCAGCTGATGGAGGCGATCCAGCAGAAGATAGAGCTCAGTCAGCAGCTGGAGCAGTGGCAGATGGACGTGCAATCGCTCGTCGATGAACATGTCCGCAGTAAAATGATGCCAGTCGCGAACGCCATCACCGCCGCGAACGGCGAGAACGCGGAGATCGTGGCGCCGGCCAGGAAGAAGAGGAGCACCGGCTCGTCGCGGAAGATGTTCGGCTTTTTTTGACGAAAGTGATGGTTCGCGGCACGTGACAGCCAGGAAGGCCGGTGCACACGTTGATTGAAGACTGCGCTCGAAGGGAGGTTCTTTCTCGCGTTTCAAGGAGTATCAGGGACCATTCGACCGCTCATCGCCCCGGTTCAGGGGCAGACTGGTGACTCGAATTCACGTATTCGAGTCCGAATTCTACGATTAACCCGTCGCGAAAGATGAGACGCTAGTTTCTACGACAGTTTCTAGAAAATAGTCATATCGCGGACGGTTCGTATCACTTTTTACGCGCGCACGCATCCGAAATACGGACGGCACAGACTTCATCGTCCTCGGTAAAAGTTTCTCGCGGCTGTAAGACGCTTTTGCGCACGAAGTATCTTTCGTTTTCCTTTTTAACGAAGTCGGAAGAAGGATTAACGCGTTGCTACGTGGTATCGCAACGCGATAGAGAGTCCGAAACAGCGACCGAAGTTTCTTCCTTACGGCGCGAGCAAATCATTGAGGAAAGAAAGCGACAGCAACTCTCGGCCAGCTCGGGCGAGTTAAGCGATCGCCAACGGTGAAGCGTGAACGCTTTTCATTTCCCTTTGCGCGAACGTTTCGAGAAGTAATGATCATTCCGGTAATCGCGGTACGGCTCGTTACCGCGGCAAGAACGATCTTTAACGGCCGTGTGTTTCTTAAGGATCTCGTACGTTTCGCGGGTTCGATCTTATTACCGTGTCGAGCGAGAAGAATATAAGAGAAACCAGCGAACTTCCTAGTTCTTCTGACGACTGATCGTACCCGCGCCGGCCTAATGAAAGTCGATCGTTGGCCTCGCGTCTGTAAATAAACGGTTTTCGACGGACACTTGTCTTCGTAGGAGCGGAATTTCTTTATCGTTGATTGGTGAGACATTTTATCGATGTTACGATCAGCGCTCTGGGTCGAATTTACGACGTTACTGGTAGCCAGGAAATTGATCGTTGAAAAATTAACCGAATCGATTTTTAGCGCCCGTTATCGCGTCATACTTTGCCTTTTCAAATCGGTCTAACGTTTTAGATGGAATTGCCATTGCGCGCGCGATCGCAGCTCGAACGGCTGCAACGAAAGAAGCGAAATCGGTCGACCAGACCGCGGCACTGTCGCCGTTTCGTGTAACGACAGTGCAACGACACTAGAGAAATTTCCACGCGAATCCGCGCGCCGGTCGATCGCGAACGATTCTTCTCTCGGCGCTCAATTTTCATTCCAGTCCGAACGGTTAGCTTTAATTAACGAACGGTGTTTAACGAACAACGAAGCGGTCGCACGCGGATCGCCAACGCGCGGCTCCGTCCTTTGTAAATTAGCGGCCGGCGAGCCGCGAGCCTCGCCGAGATTGTACGATAGCTGTATGGTTCGCGATCTGAGCAATTGTGACAACTTATTTATTTAATAAAAGTCTGTTTTACGGATGCGTTGTTGGAACACACTTGTAAATACGTTCCTTGAGCCTCTTTACGGTTCAAGGTCTCGCGGTGAGTACCGTTCGTTGTTCTGAATGAGAGCTTACATCCATCTGGCATGAATTTGTAGAGTTTCATCGAGTTCCGCAGGACAATCGAAGCTATCTGATTCTCTGGCGAAATGTCGGGAACTTGTTTCCGAGAGAAGACGATGCACGATTCAGCGCAATCGAACAGCATTCGCTGCAGTTCACCGTGTTTTGATGAATATTATTTTATCTTCGATTGTTACTCTTTAGCGTTAGACTGAAATCATTAGTTCCTATCCTTTAGGATAAATCCTCGAGTGACGAAACGTTTGAAGTGACTAATTGTAAGAGATCGTAGACTATTGTAATAATTTGGTAAGAAAAATGAACACGGCAATATTTCATTACTAGTCGGCTTGGTGGACTTCATACTAGACCATCCATATTTCCTTCTATTTAAAACTCTTCGTTCAACAAACTAAATCGACGTATCGCAATATATTACCGTATCGAGTTCCTAACGGAGTAGTCAACAACAACAACAACAGGATTGAAAAGAAACAAATAGGCATTTATTCACAAGAGGCAGGTGTAGTTACAGTAGTTTTTTCTGTCGCTTTTATATATATATTTATATATATATATAATATGTATATATACGTATATATATAATAGTATC